AATTATTACAATATTATGTACAAAGAGTTAAGTGCTTATTTCCTTATGAATAATGAAATAATTAAGTAATATGATCGTTGTAGTTTAATATTATTATAATAATATAATATTACAGTGATTTAATATGAAACTGACCTGCTAGATAATATTCTAATAATAATATTAGTTAGATAATATTGATTTTACATTTTAATATCATCATAATATAATAATATAATAATAGGAAATGACAATAATTATGTAGCATCATGTTGTCAAAATAAGTAGTACTAACAAATGAAAAAAGATATAATATAATCAGAGAACTTAAGCATATTAACATAAAAATATTACGTTAAATAATGTAACATTATTTCATTTATATTATTACTGTAAATGTATCGTGATAGGATAAATAGAGTTTTTGATCATATGTATTATTTACACAGGAATATTTCAGTTGTGTTCAGACTTTAGTATAAGTATCAGTGTAACCGAAAGAAGAAAAGAAATCTTTACAAATACTTTGTTCCTTTATATATCCCAGTTCGCTTTGAAGAAGTAAAAGTAAGATTCTTTGAAGATTAGGGTACCGTATGCTTTTATTCCTCTCTTGATACAAGTTTCTGAATGTGAAACAACATCCGTTCAAAAAATTAGTCCGCGCAGAAAAATTTATAGGAGTATTAACATAGGCAGAGAAAGCTTTATAATTTCCATTATTCTTCAAATGGATTTCCTATTCGATTCAGATAAGTGATAATCTTTATAAAAGGACAAATTGGACTTAGCACTACCTATTTTAAGTAACTAAAAATAAGCATTCAAAATTAACAATGAACATTCATATCATTACTTTTAATTTCGTTTCTTATTTTCTCAAGAATCAAATATGGATGAAAGATAATTAAATTTCAAATCTAGTAGGTAACACAAATCCAATTCAAGATGTCCATTAATACTACCCATTAATTTTATCTAATGTTAACATATTCAAAAATGTACTTGATGCTAATAGCTCCATAGAAATTCTATAGTGTAGGATAGCGGAAACTGGTTCTGAGACACAAAAATTGACAAAACAACAAGAACAGAATAACTCAAACTCAAAACTCATAAAACTAATTTAACTTAGGAAAAGAACATCAAGATAACGAAATGAAAACACACAAAAACGCACTATAATTTTACTCTCTTTCCAACACCAAGCGACTCACGCTTGTGCTGGTCACAATTGATTTCTAAGGACTCTGTTTCGGTCGTCAAGGACCCTGCTTTTATGCTTTTCTTAACCTACACTTCACCTCTATATAGGGACCGCGCAACTTAATTTTGTTACCCAAAATAACTTTTCCATTTGCTTCTAGAAAATATTGATCAGTCTATAATTTGTTTTCGTTGGCAATGTCCGATTCGCGATTTCTTTCCGAACTGATATCCTACAATAGCATTATCAAAAAAAAAAAAAGAAAAGGAAAAAATGCTATCAATTAATTCCTATTTCAATATCATCAATTAAAAATCCACCAAAACTATATCCACTGTAAAGCAAGCATCATTAGCAACAATTTTACATCTCAAATTGCACTTCTCTGTGATTATTACACTCAGAGGTGTCCAATCTATCATGACACAAATTGTATCATATCAGCTAACGAACCAAGACCGATTTTAATTGATCTCCCTTTAATTGCATCGAATGTTTCGACCCGATCCATAAAAAAAGTCGCAAATAAATTATCCACGGTCCAGGAGAGCACTTCCGGCGGTCGACTTGGACGTTCGTTATGCTCATTAGTATTCCCTTCGGCGACGATGTGGTACTGCTATCGCAACGTTTAGCGAAGCGACGCGACCCTTTGGGGCTATCGTGTTATTTTGTTACCGGAGTTCCCAAAGTAACTACCGGCGCAGACTCGATTGACACCGTGAATTACATTACTTCGCCACCCCTTTGAAATGAGCTCACGGTGTGAGTTAACCGCGGAATCGCTGTAATACTCATTCCGATTCTCGTTTCCGTGTTGTGGCCGAGTATTGTTGCATGTAATCGGAGTATAATGGCGCGAATGTTACGTGTCGTTTCGAATAAACGGGGCATAACGAAATGGATAGAGTGAGGGCTATCTTTCATATTGATTTGGATGTATTTCTTTCTTTTCTTCCTTCCATTTATTTAATTTTCTCTTATGCGATGAAAGTGAATTTGAGCAACTGTAATAAAACGAATAATCCCACTTCTGGGATTCTAAGGGGGTTCACTGATCTAACAGCGTAACAGTCAGCACTGTCTAACGAAACTATTTCAACTCTTTACCTCAACTATCTCCCTATCTCAACTCTCTATCTCAACTCTCTATCTTCCAGAGCGGGCCCTTTTAAGCCCGTCTGGAAGGCAAGGACCTCCCCCGAAGGAGGAGAAAACTGCCCCCACGTAACGCTCTGGGGTGGAAGGGATTCCTCCATCAGGTTAGGCTCTTCGAAGTATCATCCACGCGGGGACCCTTCCCGAGAGATGTCCGCGGGCGCGTCACCCCCAGTTTACAATGGGGAAAACCGGGGTTGCGCGAGGCTACCTCACGTGGCCTGGCCCCGACTTCCCGAGACTCGTCTGGCCGCCAGATTCTAACGGGACCTCTATACCTGGCGAAGTCTAAAGATATCCTACATTCTTACACAATATAATAATTTTAATAGATGGGATGGGAGACATGATTTGTATATTTTGTTTAATAATTTATTCCAATACTTTGTGATTTATATGATATTTTTAATTTATATTTTTAGATTATATTTTTCATTTTATTAATTTCTGTTGTAGTATCGTTATGCATTACACGTTATTTTAGTATAATATTGTGTAATGAAGAAATATTAATTAATCGGAATTTCTTTTCTTTTGTGAATGTACAAGATAGATCTCTGTATATTAAGAGTATAATTAAAGTATAATCATTGGTAGATTTATGATTATTTATTTATGCAGGAGGAAATCAATTTCTCGATTTACACTTTTATTTAAATGTGATCAACTAGAATCAGTGAAATTTATAGGATGAATATCAGAATGTGATGCAGTAGTATTGTATACCCTATGAGTATATTTAATCCATTACGAATATTATCTTGGATATATATTTAAATATACGTTTAATTGATCAATTGAAATTAACAGTGAAGATATATTTTGCATATTATTTAAAATAATTAAAGATATTTTATTGTACTATTGTATTATTATTTTATTGTATTTTATTGTATTATTATTGAAAAGAAGCATTGAAAGAAATGTTCCATTTTGGTCGCGCAAAATTATTTCAAGAATTAATTTCCTGCGATGATCCCTCATTATCCGTATTTAACAAACTACTGCATCGTGCAATCCTCATAAGCAGGAGAAGGTAATGGTTCTTATTGAGAACCGTGGAAATTAAGAATGGTCTCCGCAGTATTCGGTTGATTGGATAGCACCGTATCGTTGAGCCTTCATTACGGACTGAGTCAGCTCCAATCTATATGCAAAATTGCTCCTCGCTGTTCAAGAAGGACGAAGGATCAATGTTTGTAATTGTCACGTGACACTTTTGCCTCGAATGGCTAATACGTTAAGAAAGTAAACGACGTATTCATGATTTACTTTCAAATGGTCATTAGTAGAAATTGAATTAATATTACAAATTTCTATGAAGTGATTATACATTTATACAGAAAATAATCGAAATATCGGTATAAATGAGCAGAAAGCGACTCCTTATGCAAAAGTAGATTAAAAGTACGGAACAAAATTTTCTCTTTACCAGAGGGTTGTATTATTTCTTAATTTACGTCGCAGTGATTCTCGGGGAATTCTTGTACGAGAAGCTTAAATTTCTCAATAGTAGTGGACGCGAAGTCTCCAACGTCTGACGACGGGTGCGCAGTCGTTGACTTGTACTACTTAATTTCGCTAGACTCTCGTCTTACCATCTTCAGATCACTGTTTTAACATTTCTTACTTGTTCTAGCAATATTCTGTTTTCCTTTAATGGTATTTTTAATTTAATTTAATTTTTACTTCAATGATAAATTATTTTTAATTAAATTTTTTAATTTATCTGTATTTCTATAGTAGTATTTATTTCCTAATTTTTCTGTATTTCTGCAATAACATTTATCTATCAATTTTTCTGTGTTCTGACAATAGTGATTATTTTTTAATTTTTCTGTGTTCCTATAATTGTTCTTATTTCTTAATTTTACTATGTTTATACTGTACATTTATTAGCTTAAGAGCATAAACTAATGATGGCTATTTAACGGTTGGAATCCTAAGACGATGTTTCCCTAATGTGTTGGCTACCCAAACAACCGTTAAGGTCGAGATCATCAACCTAAATTCAATATTTGGCAGACGTAACATCAGAGAGACTTGAATTGAAGAGCGTGATAATCATTTCAAGAGCAGAGAAGCTAGTAACATTAATAGGTGAGAGAGAATTCATATTTATTAAGTGAATGGATGACAGATAAACTATAATGGAAAGAATTAATTGGAACTGAGTGTATTTAAAATATGTTTCATGACAGTGAGTATAGAAATCAAAATACAGTCTTTCTCTGACCATTGTCGAAGCACTTCAGACTGAAAAATTTCGCAAAACTGAGATAAAGATAATTATAATTGAATCATTCTCAGGCCGAAGTGACAAACTATATTTGTCAAACTTTTTTTAATTTTTATACCAAAGAACTCAAACTATATTCAAAATAAATTTCCATTTTGCCCTCTAGCGGAGTTAATCGATTTGGCAAATGTGCGGCTCAATTAAAAATATTAATAAATTTAAATAATATGCGGTTATTATAAGCTTAGATAATTCACATAAAATACGAAACTCCTAATATTAGAAATTGGTGAGGTTATGAAGATGCTATAATGATCCAAAGTGAAAGATGTTACAATGATCCATAGAACACTGTGCATAGTACAAGGTATTGAGGAGTGGTACGGACATTTAGAATTCTTAAATACTTGTATATACCTGTAATAATACTGCTGGTGGCATCACTGCTAGTCCAACCAACAAATCCGCAGCAGCCAAGCTGGACACGAAACAGTTAGTAACGGACCTTAGACGCCTAGTTGTTATCACAGCCGCAATTACTAGAGTGTTGCCCACCTGCCATAACAAAGAATGCATATTTCATTTTTAAATTTATTCGAAATTCACAAAAACAACGTTCGATTGTCAAAATATCAAATAAAACGAAAAATAATAATTGTGAACCGATAACCTAGTAAATTACTATGATGGTACATCCTACAGCAAGAGTACGCTATAAAATTGCACTCAATTTCCGAGAAAATAAATAAAAGCAAGGAGGGATTTGCATCAACTCGAATCGTTTTTCATTGATTGCTTCAATCTTTCTTTGAATAATTTAATTATTTACATTTCAAATGAACTTAGTAGAATTTATTCGAGAAGATTATTTAAAAAGCATCAATTATTGTAGTGTCATTTCGCTAAAATAAACAAGGAAACGTGAATCTTCTTGTACGAGATAAAATTAACATACACACAGAAATAAGTATGAAGCAAGAAAGAATATTTTAATATACATTTGCATAATCTGAAGAAACATTTATGGAAATTATCACGAATCGAATAGAAAAATATTAACTCGAATATTAATTTGAATACCAATTTAACTGTTTTCTATTATTTCTGGAGCAATATTATATATTAAATTATTGGTAAAATATAAGATATAATAAAAACTTCAGTGATATTCATTAATAATTTCATAACTCTTTTCACGTAATTATCTTAATTGAGGCAGTGTTCACTGATGAACGGCCGTATATATACATACAAATGTAAAGAATAATATCTTTAAATAGGTATTTTCCAAACAGGCAAACTGAGCTGAAAAACCGCGAATAAATACATTTGACATATGTTTGCCCTTACACAGATCAAAGTACCCAGCATAGTAACGCGGATTTGAAACTTCAACTCGAGATAATCAGTATGCAAGAACTCCCGAGTATCTCAAACAACGTACCACCCGAGAAATCAAAATAGTCGCAAAAAGAAAGCGCAGAGGAATAAATTCCAGCTAAATCGAATTCTTCTCGAAATCTCCACGCATATTTTAATACCTTGAAAATCTTAATCTCGCGTAAAAGTCACCTCGAAATAAAACAAAAGCGATAGAAAATTTACAAAAATCATGGATCCAAATAATTGATAGTAAAATTGCAGCAATTGGATCGATTTCGTGGTATATCCTGTCAACCGATGTACACACAGGAAGCCTCGGAATCCTATATCGCAAATAGTCCGAAACAAAGCTTCCTTCGATCAGGTCAGCCTAATTGTTGCTTACTATAGTGACGATGATCAACATGGTGAACAGCCCTGCCAAAACGAGATCGGTCCAATTCGGTAGGTAGTATTCCGTCTGCGTATCTCGCTCGTCCGTCGACACCGTGTGATTCGATTGATAAACGTCCCCATAGTAATTGGCCGTTTGATTCGCCATGGCGCTTTAGCCCCGGTCCATTGACGATGACTTCCGCTCGGCGATTTGCGCATTTCCGTGCACCACGCGGCTGCCTGCGGGACAATATTTTCACTCAGAAAAAGATCGTAAATCCAGGATTATTCTCAGGCTTACTCTAGCACTCGATTATGTAGCTGATAAATGCCTTGCAAACACAAATACAGCTCAATTTTAGTACAGTTTGTGTTTTTCTCACCGTGACTCTTTTATTTCATACTCCAATTCTGGAAAATTAAAGTGACAAATTGAGCAGGTTCAATAGAGTTACGTATACTTTCAAAAGATATCAGAAGGTGATCGATATGGAAGTTGAAGGGATGGTGATGACAGAGGGTAGACTCTGAACTTAATTTTAACTTAACTTTAACTAATTTCCAAGATATCGATAAAAAACTTTCGTTATCCTAAATTTAATTTGATTGTTTTCCAAAAGGCACTCACCTATATGATTGATAAGGTGGGTAACAAAGAATGAGGTTGATTTAAAATGCAAAATTTTATGACAAAGGGTAGACTTTAAACTTAATTCTGACTTTGAGTGAATTTTCAAGATATTGATAAAAATCTTTCGTCACCCTGCATTGAATTCAACTATTCTTCCAGAAGACCTGATTTTTAAGGTGGATAGCGAAGAATAGGGTGGACTTAAAATGGAAAATTTTAGCTTCGGATATTCTTCAGTTTCTACATATACATTGTGCATTTGTAAAACTTCAGAATGATGGGATAGTAACACTGTTATTAATCGTACTGTCACTATTGCGAGCTTCATTTCAATAACGTGAGTGTGAGATTAGGGAATTTAAAAATGTATACAACGTTTGATAAGAAATGACTCGAGAATAGATGTGTGATGATATGCTATGTACAAATTGACAAAGATATAAAGGAAGATTCGAGTCTCATGGGAGAGTCGAAAGACAAGCGCACTCAGATCAAAGTGATAGAAAGTGTATATAGAAATTCATCGAGAAAATGTGAACTCCATAAAGAATAGTTCAACTATTTATTAGTGTAGGCTTGAAAGAAGGTTGCAAGGGAGCAGCGAGTCAGAATGTGTAGTAGAGTATAGAGAATATATCAAGAGTTAGAGTATGGAGCATCAGAATCAATATCAGAGTATCAAGGTTAAGTTAGAATTGTAAAATTAGGCTAGCCTTAAACTGTTTACCAAGCAGTAGTTTATTTAAAATATATTATTTAAATATACTTGATCGTTATTAATTCATAACCATGTTCTTTGTGCTGTTCTGTGCTCTCTTATCCCTCAACCTTACATTATTGTACTCGTCGTCTCAGTTGTTGTAAATATATCTGTTAAATAAACAATAGCAAATGAACAATTCGGTCCAACACAGCTATGACGTTATAAGTTCTGAAGTCAGTATACCCAATCAATGAAATTATTACGTGAAACGAATGAAAAATATCGTCATGCCCATGATCACGTATCATCTAATAAAGATCGTTCTGAAATATATAGAAATCGAGGTGAATTAAGTGATTTCTCTCGAAGGCAGCATTGAATCTTCACGACGTTATCGTGAAGCTACCGCGTGTCCTGAACGATAAAGGACAAATGATTCTTGCGGCGATCGATGGATCTCGAGGATTGGAAGACCCAGAAGGAGGACGAATCTCTCTCCCGTTACTTCCTTCGATCGTGGAGAACTGATTCCGGGGTTTTATCGTCCCGAAAGCGATTCTTTCTTGGTCGACGGGGCAAGATCGCTGCGCGAGGAGAAGAACAATGCGTCTTGGAGGAAGCTCCTGAAAGGGTGTACTTAGACGCTTTGTTGCTCCTTATGGTTGCACTGGGAATGAAGTTACATCGCACGGGTTGTACCGTGACAAGGGAGAATGTCAGTCCACTTGAGCCTTTTATGGATTTAGAAGAATTTATTTGCAGTCCTGACGAATGCATCGAGGATAGTGTCGAGTAATGGGAAATTTCAAGATAGGAATTGATAAAATATCCTTTTCTTGGATTGTATGAGCATATTAAACAAAATAAACGACTTTAGTGAAAGAAGTGTGAATTAGTTTGGAACTCGAGAATGTTTCATAGAAAAATATTTTGGAAGAAATGTGAAACTTTATTTTGGCAATAGTAATAGTTACATGTAACTATTAATATGAACTTCGACGCGTGTCTAATATAATATATACAGTAAATAATAATTGAAGCATTTTAATGAAAATAAATATAGGTATATATAATTTCATTGGTATTTCATTAAGGTTAATATTAATTTTTCCAAAAGCAGGAGTACACCCTTGACCCTTTGAACTCAGAGATCTTCCGTTACAGAAAAGTAGTAATTCGAAGACTTTCCGCCATGAAGATATTTTTAAAACGGTAAATAGGAGATCGTATGCAAACTAAGACATGGAATTATTTTACTTCGACATTCCACGCGTCGTTGAATAATTTTTAATTTTATATATTAATCAACATGGATTTTTAGAATCTGATTATATGGCGAGTGAGGGTGCAAAGGGTTAATAACTGAAGACAAATATTCTACATACATAAGGGAATGGTTAGCTGCAGAAAAATTACTTTGTTTCCTGATTTGTATGTATGAGAAAATATGATATGTGATTTCCTTCCATTAATTTTCATTTGTACTTGGAAACTCGATTGGAGAGTGTTTCACATAGCTCACGCAATTACTATCTGTATGAATAGTTAGGGTTGGGGGTAGAGGTTGATTAGCTATACTTGTTCTGTATTTTTGCTAGGTCAGATGGATTGCTTGCAAGTTTTTACAATAGAAGGTTACAAATGTTTCTATCGATCGCTTCAGATGGAAACATAGTGGTGGAAATGGTCAGTGTTCGTGAGCGGATAAAATGGTTGATAAAGATTGCAGGCGATAGAAACTTTGATCCTAAATTTTCCAAGTTTCAGAGAAAAATTTCTTATGCTTAGTTACTCGACATTTGATGTTGTGCACTAATTTAATAACCATTGCTGTTAGATTATAGCCAATCGATGCTAGCTATACATCAACTGTATACCTGGAAAATGAAATCTATGAATCGATATCAATTAGTAACCTTTCCATGAACACGCTCAACAAGTGGATTTCATTGTCCAGGAAGATAACAATTGATCCTTTGTCTCTTCCATCAACCGAGAACACAATAGGTATCTAAATAATGAAAAACACATACAATTCCAACCCTCCATCAGATACATACGTATCTATCACTGTTTCTTTCCCTCAATCTTTACTCCATTAAACTTTCAACCTTTCATCTATCCATGTTACGTGAACACGAGACTCATCTTTGAATTAACCATATATCCTCATTCATATTCATCTGACGAATCTCGGTAACAGACTAACAAATTTTACAGCGACACATTCGAGATTTATAAACTGTCGCGACTGATCTGTAAGTCAATATTCGGGTATTTTACACAGAATTACACAGTTATGCTCTTTGAAATCAAAGAAAAATTCCGACATAGAAGTCAAGTGTCGAAAAACATAAAATTAAATGGAGAACTATTATTGAAACGTTTAGAATGAAATACTTCAATCGTGAATGATATCCAGGTGGAAAGATCCACGTTTATTTTATCATACGAACGATATATACGTTACATATTGGAGATATAGACCGTGGTGGCGCTAGTGAGTTAGGTGGAAAATCGTCGTAAGGCTGTTATAAGCAACCAACGATGAATCAACAACGTATTGAAACATGCTATTTTTAATCACTGTTGCTTTTGATGAATATTATAATCAATTTGCACAGTTCCTTATGCAATATTTTTATGATTCACCAATATCACATGTTCATAACAAATGTATCATGGATACTATACATATCGTTGAATTATTTTCCAACTTTACTCGTATAATTTTAGGAGTTCCTTCTTGCCGTATACATCATTGTTGTTTCAAATATTTTAATGCGATACTCCTATATTAATTTTCAAAGACAGTGCACGTAAACGTTCGAATGCTTCACTGCAAGCGAATTAGCAAACGTAAATAGGCTTTGAGCCAGGCTGAATGTTACAAAAAAGAGATTATAAAGAGGAAAACAAACACTTAAAGTAGTATAGAAGCTCGAGAGAGATAAGAAAAACGATGGCAGTGGAGAATTAAACGACCCTGGACAACGAGTTTCGAGTGTTCGTCTGAAAGGACTCGTTTTGTCCTCTAGTCGCGTGTTTCAATCGCATCCGCGTGAAATTGATCGATGCTGCGCGAGACGAGAATGGTGATGCTAATCTTGTATCCATGTACAGAGTTCGAGTTTCGTTCGGATTTTAACCCATTTGTATACGTGACGCATGTAGAAACCCGATTGCCCTGATCGTTATCGTTCCAACGTACATATGAGATCTTGGACAATTGGAGATGGATACAAAGCATTTCGTGTCTTGGTCAACAGAACAGCAAGAGTTATTACGAGAAATTGGCCAGAAAAATATTGGAAAAATTGGAGATTCATTTTTTTATATATTGGTGACAATGGTGATTAATGATAGTTCATGAAAGCAATATATTTTCTTATGAAAGGGGAAAAAAGATAATGCAAAGTGACTTCGTGTATTAAATACTGGAGCTGTATAAATTGTGATCCTGCATTTAGAGATAAACCAAAAATAAATACTGGAATTTCTTTGAAAGAAAATCTAAAGTTTCATCAATGGGAGTTTAAATGAAGCTATATTTCTAATTCTATTTCTATAAATTAGGAATCGTATTGAGAATCGTACACATATTGTATTGAATTACTGTACGAAATTAAGCAACTATTGCTTAGTATCATAGGATGTCGAACACGTAGATTTCTATAATCGAATTGAAAATGATCAATCGAATAAAATTGGCACGACCGAAGCTACGGTGCTAATTATATTTCAGTTGAATTCGTGTTCTATGAAAAGTATCAGACGTTCGCATGAAATATGAATGACGCGCACCCATGGAAATATATTTTCCGTCGCGACT